CCTACAATTTTCCATACATTTTTCCCTGTGGCTGTGACACCATGTCTTTGCATATATGTACAGATAGAAAATAATTACCTGGCCGAGTCATTCAGCACCAGATGCTGCTGTTTGTAGCGATGTGCTGAACGCCTGGGGACACTACCAGTGTCAGATTGGAGGTACATCTTGTACGCCCCCACCTGCTCCATCTAAAACAAAAATCAGGGTTATTTGCACATAATGAATGCACACAAGAATCATACATATGAAAGACCAGCCCACACGCTCAAAAACATTAGCTGCGTTCGATTTACTTACACCTCCTGCACAGGTGCAGAAAAGTGTAGGGCGGTGTACTTCCGGCCACATCTGAATACAGATGCCGGAAGTAGACTGAATACACATGCCGGAAGTAGACTGCCCTACACTTTTCTGCAGCGGTGCAGGAGGTGTAGGTCAATCGAACGCAGCTAACGCTTCAAGAGCAATGCGATATGCACTATGTAGTGCAGCTCCACCAGAAGTTGCTATATGCACGACAGCACGGAGAGCTCATGCCATTTGGGTCACCCTTTTCGGATATCATGTGTCCTCTTGCCCGCATTCACACCGCTCCGCGGCGACAGCCTGCGGCTGCTCATTACAAAACTATAAACCCACTTGGCCCCCCTCGAACACGCCGCTTGGAGGCGTCCAGCCGACAACCGAAGTTCCGCTTTGGTGCCTGGAACGCGTCTCCGACTGGAGTGTTTACCCCGCCCAAAAAAACTGGTCCCTCCATTTCCGCCTAGTTACATCATAGAAGTGTCATGCTGCCGCCAGTCGCGATCCTGGTGGCGTCCCAATAGCTCTGGCGTATGTGGCAGACGCCTGTTCTGCAGGTCGCACTCCAGGGTGGCAATCCATGGAAGCGCCAGCAGCCAGAAGTTGGGACACCGCGACGACAGCGACACTCGCGTTCGCTCATGCTTTTTGCCAGCATTTCTTCAGCCAACCACCAGGATCACGACCTCCGACAGCATGACACTCCGGGTCCTGTGACGTTATTTGTTGCCACTTTGGGACCACTTTTGATGTATGGGCAGCACAGGACGCTGAACACACCAGTCAGAGACGCGCTCCAGGCACCATAGTACCACTGTCCCCCACTGCACCTCCGGAAAGGGAGTCCCATACCATTTAGTTCAGCAAAGTTTCGTCGACAATGTTCTTTTTCCCTCTTTCAATGATAATTGCAATAAAGAAACGTCATCAATATCGCCAAATGCTCGACAAAAAAAAAAAAAAGTTAGAAAAGAAGGGAAAAAAAGTAAACCCACTCTGGCTCGAACGTGTATATAGAAGACTCCTTTCCACTACGCTACAGCTACAAAACACTTCTTCTGACAATTCGTTTAATACGAGACCCAACAAGTTTCGCGTCGTGCGTATAGCCATTTCCGGTCGAGATGCATGGCGTAGTGCGTATAGCATTAAGGCCGAACCGCATGTAAGCGATTTAGCAAGCGACAAGACAAGCGACGGCGACAGGGACGAGAGTCGTCAGCGACAAGCGACGGAGATTTCTAACTGTCACCCCTGCGCTTCGCTATTTTTTTTATTTCTCGAAAGAGTAATGCTATATGCACTACGGAGTGCAGCTCGGCCGGAAATTGCTATATGCACTACGTTTCTCTCGTATAAAAAGAATGATCACAACGAATTTTCCAACCGGTGGCATAGCGTAGGGGTTAGCGTGCCCGCTTTGTACGCAAGTGGACGCAGGTTCGAATCGCGGTGATCCTACCTTTTTTTTTTTTCTTTTCTTTTTTCTTGAACGTTGTTTTCACGAGGTATTTGGCGATATTTATATTTCTTTTTTGCGATGAACACTAGAAAAAAAAAAAAAAAAAAACACCGAATGTTGTCGACGAAACTTCGCAGATCGGGGACAGCGGGGCTTGGGTTGCCGGCTGGACGCCGCGAAGCGGCGTGTACTGATTAACTTTTTCTAATTAGCAGCCGCATACTGTCGCCGCGAAGCGGCGTGAACGCAGGCGGGGGGCTGGGTTAACGAGCTCCCCAGTGATACACGCGCAGTTCGAAAAAGGGTGGCCCGAGCGGCATGAGCTCTCAGCGTAGTGCATATAGCAATTTACGTCCAAAGTGCACTACGTAGTGCATATAGCATCGCTCTTCTAGAAAACGTCGCTCATCGCTCCCGTCGTTTTCATGCGGTTCATTGTCGGTCGGTCGGTCACTCGCGCGACGAGGCAAACCGTATGAAAGCGACGGGAGTAAGCGACCAGAGCGATGAGCGACGATTTCTAGAAATCCAAAAACCGAGGGACGCGACAAGCGACCGTGAGAACTCCGTCGCTCGTCGCTGTCACTTTCGCTCGTCTCGTCACTCGCTATATCGCTTACATGCAATTCATCCTTCAAGCGAGTCGTCGTCGCTTGCCTCGTCGCTCGCCAAATCGCTGCGTACAACACCCCCAGCGAAAAAAGAGCACTCACTTTTGTGCACGCCGACAACGGAAACGCCGACGACGTCGAGGATCCCAGCCGATCTATTCAAATTGAAGCTGCAGGTGCAATGCGTCCGCGCAACCTAACGTGGACATTATTTACTTTAAACGGTCTCAAAACATGCCTGCCGTGCCTGCTGTCAACACATCACTGTTATCACAACGTGCTGCGAGACGCTGCGCCGCTGCGCTGCGGAGCACGTGTTCTGGCTCGCAAAAGAGCTGGGTAGTAAACTAGACGCCTCTTTGGACAATCCGGACACCCGCTCCTGACGTCCCGCGTCTCTGACGGATGAAAGCGCCGCCTTTATTGCATGTAGCGGCAATTCTTTGAACTGCTTTGGTGGAGCAGCGCCCCTGCAGTTTTCACAAGTGGCGCTGCGAAATGTTGGTGGTAGAACTCGCACGGATTCAGGCCGACATTATGTTGAACGTTCACTATCTAAAATGAACACGGTAGAATCAAACAAAGCAATACTTTTTAAGCAGTGAGAGAGTGCAGGCGAGCTGGTAATCAATCGACGTCTTGTAAACCCTGAGATGGGGAACGATAAAAAAACGTCCGTTTTTTAACGTCCGTTTTTTTTTTATCGTTCCCCGTCTCAGGGTTTACAAGATGTCGAAAGCAATACATTTGCAGTGCTTTGGCTGGGTATGTTGATCTAGCCAGATCTGCAAGTGGTTCACGTTGTGAATTAAACATTTTACTGGTGCACGAGTTCACGTTGTGGATAAGGCACTTTCCCGGTGCTGAGTATGAACTCTTGCATGCGGTTGCTAATGTAAACCACGCAGTAGCGAGTTAACAAACCTTATGCGGGGGTTGACGGAACAAGATGCACACTTTTGCTTTCTTGTGCAGCCTTGACAACGTTGTTCATGAAAAATTGACGCCGAACTTAAAGGAAGTCTAGCCAGCGCACGCTTCCGACAGGGGCCGGCCAGAAAATCGCATGCGAAACACAGTGATGAACGCTGGAGGCTGTTTCACGCACAGCGACTGCAGGAACTGTGCGAAAAAAATCGGGACAGCCGACACGGCGATTTGTTCGTTGTTTGGCGATTGTCGGTGAGAAAGACATCCCACGAGCGATTGCTTTGCAATTTTGTTGATCAAAAGTTTCTTGAACAAAGCCTGAGACATTTCAAGCGATCGTAACCAGTAGCAGGGCCGCTGCGACGGTGCAACTGTGCTTTTAGTCGCAGAGTGGCAAAAATCGCAACGATTTGGGGAAACAATTGCAGCACGTGAAACAGGCTTACTTCTAAGAAGCTTTCCTGTCTACGTGCTCTGATTGGGATTGAAACTACAAGCGCGAGCGCACGCTGTGGAGGAGGACGCCTGAAGTCCTAGCTGTACTGCATGCATTCATGTGCTCACGAGCTCGGCAGGTACGTTAAGGGGCACGGGTCCATATCACAAGAGCGAATGACATTTGAGCGAATGGTCGTTTTAGCGAATAACGGGGGCGCGCGTTAACCCATCCGTCGCGCTGCGCTTTACGCCGCTTCGCGGCGACAGTCTTCGGCAACTCATTACAAAAATGTGAACCCATTTGGCCCACCCGAAAACGCCGCTTCGCGGCGTCCGACTATTCGCTAAAGTGTCGTTCGATGAAACGTGGGCGTTCGCTAAAACGTCATTCGATCAAGTGAGTGCCTCCCGGTGTGGCCAGTGTGTACTCGTACCAATGTGCGAGGTGTGTACAATTGCTTGTACACACCTCGCTAGGCCTACTTTCTAACGGCTCCAGCAATTCTACCTTGATTGTGTTTAACTCACGCGGTTCGTGACTTAATTTATTTTCCAAACAAGGACCGGAAAGCTGCAGAGCCATATGATGTACTGTGTACAGGTGTGTTACAAAGCCATGGACCTGTGCATTTCCCGTGGCTGGCCGATTTGCCTTTCAGCTTTTTCCGTGTGAGGTTCAGATAGATCGATAGATATTTATTTATACGTTAAGGTACACGCTGTTGCAATCATCAGTTCGTCGAGAAATATTCGTTAGTCTTCGAGGCATTTCACGTGATGAAAGGTTGTCGGGGAAACGTGCTTCGATAAAACGTTTGTCGATGAAACGACACTCCGAAGCGTTTACGCTATAAAGTACAGAAACAGAAGGACGACCACTCCTCTGTCGTTCAGGTTCTGTTCCTACCTCCGAGGTGGAAACTACAGGGTGCAAACTACAGCAAACTACTCTTTTTTTTCTTCCTTTCTGCACACTACAGAACGGCGGAGCAAAGGATCACTTCGAATAGTTTAAACGCGTACTGACAGACACCTGGCATTTCTAATCTATACATTTTAAGCGGCTACAACAGTTGACATTTTTAATATGCTCTAAGAGAGCGAAAAAAAGAAATTAGCAATATATTGCCATTTTTGTGTTAAAGGAGAGCGCACGATGCTCTAAAAAAAGTTACCGTCTGCCAACACTGGTGTCAAACATTCTTGTCTAACCGTCCAACGATCCAATCCAATCCAGGAGTGTTTTTGTTTGCACGTGTGTACCTTGTCTTTTGTCAATTTATCATCTTTCATCTCGGTCATTCTTGGCGGCACTTGCTGTTTGCAAAAATGAGCCACCTTTTAGTTAGGTGGGTAAATACCGGAAGGACTCGCGTGTATGATGTAGTTAGCCTAAGGGACTTGGTAGATACTAAAATAGGCGCATTAATTTTGCAAAATTCGAGGGATTCGAATATATTCAACAAAGAAGTACAAGTCAGGTGGGAGGGAGAAAAACACCCAGCGAGGATCGTGGCTATCGGTAAGTTCGCTCCGTTTCTTTACTAAATTAAGTTGTAATCCTCATAATTTGTTAGCCTTCAATTTCATTTTTTTTTCTCTTTGAACAGGTAGCCCCGCGCAGATGGAAAAGAAATGCAAGCTAATGATCAAAGGAGCTTGCAATGGAGCCGGTGACCAGGTAGTACGTATGCACGTCACTCATATCCGTCAGATATTTGCTTTGATGTTAACGGGTTCCGAGTCCCACCAGAAAGAGAGAGGGACGGAGGATATAAGCGCGGCTTCCTAATTTAAATGTTGTCTAAACAAAAAAAAACAAAAACAAAAAAAAATGAAATCAACAAGAATAGCGTTTCTTTTTTTCAAGATGCAACTATCATTTTGTAACTTCAGCACTGGTAATTTCAGTTTCAATTATCCCAGGTCGAGAACTATACTTCATTTCAGCTTAAGTCCAGATGCAGCCGATGCTACAAGCGCAAGCTCCTGGCTTTCAGCGTCGCTGCCAAGCATGCGCGCTTGTCCTGTACAAGCACTGCTCAGGGCCACATGCTCGTGATTGTAGCTTTGGCTGCTTCTGGGCTTAAGCTGAAACGAAGTATAGGGAAGGTCTGTGGCTGTAACGAACCATACAAAAATTCCCAGTGTGCACAGTGCTATTCTTGGGTACTATCAGGTTCGAATGAACTACAAACAGCAGAGTGTGTGGCCAATGATACATGCTGCACCTCCTGTAGGCTTCTGTAGACTGATAAGACAGGTAAAACTGCGTGTTGGAGGGTAGGGCGCTGCATTGGTGGGCTCCCCACTCCAATGGGTTTGACCCTTACTCAGCACAACCCAAGCTTCAATGCTGTGCCGGTGATGCGCTGGAACTTCCGTCATAGCTTAGAGGTCGCTGCAAGCGTAGAACTGCCTGCTTGAATCGTTCGTCAGGCCGAACAAGTGTCAGCCACCCTGAGCACTCGGGAAAACGAATGGGCCCGTGTTTCCTTGCGGTGGACTTCCTGGGTGGCGAGGTCTATGGCCGTCTTTCCAAGAAGCCATTCTGCACAGAACAAAGTGTTGAAACAACACGAAACGAACAAATACTCTGCCGCAGATTGTGGTAGTGGCCATAGCCTCCACTGCAAAATTGCTTGCCGACGGGTTCGTGTACCGTGCGGCTAACTCGGCGAGTCTGCATCCCGGAGCTCGCTCCTGGGTCGCCAGGAACGGGATTTCCTGTGTCCTGCCACAACCTCATGTTAATCATCTTCCCCATTGTGACGGTAGTATCCCTTCAAGTCAGCGATGCGAACCGGGCCAGACTCCTTGTTTGAATCTCGCCGAGTAAGTCTAGAAGTAAGACACGACGCTCGCGTCTTCACCGCATTCGGGCCCCCTCAACTCGTAACTAGCGATGCGGCAAAACCACTAGCTGCCTTGCTCAGAGGGTGAGTTTCCTTCAGGACTAGGTAATGATGGTGTAAACCAAGTCCATCTGTTGCACAAGCGAAGGAATCGAAAGCCCGAGGTGGGATTGCCATATACCCTACCTGCAGTGGCGTTACAAGGGGGGGGGGGGGGCGGACCACCCCGGGTGCCGCGCTCGGGGGTGTCGCGGAGGGGGGAAGGGGGGGGGGAGTCGCGGCGGGCTACCGCCCCGCGTGCTGCTGACCCTCGTGACGCCACTGCCTACCTGCACTCCACAACGGCCGCGTATACCGCGTGCGACTCGATGTAAGCATCTGCGTCTGATATCTATCGCGGTCAAGTGAGACGAAGACGAGGCTCAAGAAGAGCACGTGCGCGCCCGTCTGGTCACACTCCGATTCCAAAACGCCATGAGCAATGGCTCGCTTCTTTCCGACTTGAACTGTACATAGTGTAAATAAACGCAGATTTAAAATACAAAACGCCATTGCTCATGGCGTTTTCGAATCGGAGTGTGACCGCTATCGCGGGTGCGCGAATGCTCTTTTCGAGCCTCTTCTTCGTCTTGCTTGACCGCGATATATGTCAGTGTCCCATTCCTTCTACGTGCAACGAGCTCTAGGAACTGATCGGTCCTTGGAGGGGGCGGCAGCTCAGCAAGCAAGCCCGCTTGAACCGTTTGCGCCTTAAGGCAAGCTGGACAGCTACAAGCCCACCTAAATGTCTACCGCCTCATCCCTGACAAGGTCATGGCGCGACATAACTAATGAAAAGTCTTGCTGTCACTGCCACGACCGGCCAGAGTGAAGTCAGAAAAGTATTCTATAAATCTCCTTCTTAGCTTTTTAGGAACGACCCACCTGAAGGGAGAAGTGTTCCTCTGCCCATCGTTGATTGTTGGGATGACGCGAAGCAAAAAGCCGTCTTGGCCCAGCAAATACAAATTGTAGTACTCATTAATTCACCTGCCAGCTTTTCCGGTGTCAACTGCTTCTGCTACGAGTTCTGGCTGTTTCCCCTCCTGCCAGTCGTTATCCTGTCTTCCAGCAAACATGCGGTGCCACTCCTCTGCCTCCGAAGACAACTTTCTTACATCTTACCCATGCTCCTCGCCACCACCCCGGTTGTATCACCTCCTCCCAACCACTATTTTGGGGTGCTGGAGAGAGTGCGTCCTCAACCTCGTTTTTCGTGTCCTTTCGGTTTTGACACGAGGAGACACCTGCTGAGCTCTCCTGTGTGACAAGTTGCCAAAATTCCAACAGACTTTGTCTAACGGGCATCGTTAGCGTTAGTGGACAACCCGCTCAACGAATCCGTGGGACTTCCTGAAGACGACTAGAAGCAGAGACATACCGACTGGGCCCCACATTGGATGCGCCAGTCGTAGTCTTCTTTTTGTGATCTCGCTCTATAAGAATCGCTCCCTATCGGTATTCACTTCGTTCATCTCCCAGGGAGTGACACGAGACAATGAGATGACAGCGAATGGGTTTACTGTACTTCCTTATTGCCCATCGTTCAGAGCCGGCAGTCCGGGTCCGTTGACCCTTGTTGTTGCCCTTAGTTCAGAGCTCGCAGTCGGAGTCCGTGTCCAGGCCTGCGAATCGTCTTTCCCACGCCAGGGCTGGATTGGCCAGCTGTTCTGGGCTATCATGGCCCGAGTCTCACCGCGCCGCTGTGAACACACCGGGATCGTCATGGCCCAGGTTGGTATGGCCAGGGCTCGCCGTTCCCACCGGTCCTAGTCGGAACCTCGCTTGTGGACCGCTCCGGGGTTGCCATGGGGCAGACCAGCCAGACCGGCCCCGTCATTCCTGCCCTGCCTTCCCCAGCCTCGATCGGCACGCTCTGTCTGGCGCCAGCTCGTGTCTTCTCGGCCGACCGCCTGTCACGTGCCCTCCACCCCGTCTTCCACGCTAGTCTCCTACAACGTGTGTGTTTGTGGAGCATGACCGCAGCGTCCTGCTCTCTCGTAACTTGTGCAGTACATTTTTTTGCTGTAATGTGCGTTGTGATTTCCTTGTGAACAGTATAGCAAAAACTGTACAACACTTGAGGCAGGAGAACAAGAGGGAACCTAACATGGCTGTTGACATCTAAATGAAGTCAATTACTTGGCAAACTTTTATATATCGGCTCCCAGCGTGTGGCGCTGGTATTGGAAAAATTCAGGTACACCAGCTTCTGCATTCACAAAACGTTTTAGCAAAGTTCAGTAACGTTATCATTGACAAGTCACATTTTGCTGGCAGTTTGTTTGTGCAGCGAAGACCTGGGGAGCTTGATTAACAGCAGTTATCACAACCATGCAGATGTCCTTGTGAAGGACTGCGAGTGCATGGCTGCTGCAAAATAGTGAAACAGCGTGGATGGAAAATAGCATGTATATTGCCAGAGAGCCTCTGTACAAAAAAAAAATAATGAACAGATAGCGAACACAAATGCTGCAATCGACAAAAGCAAATGCCTCAACCCCACTGTGTAAGAAAAAAAAAAATTCTGCACAAGTTCGGAGGGAGCATAATGCTGCAATCATGTTCCGCTGACACTCGCGCGCAGCAAGCAGCTTGCTCCTGCTGCAAGCAGCAAGCTTCGTAGCGTGGCTCGTGCCGAGCCAAGGAGAGTGGCTGAGCAGCGTCGAAGCTTGGGTAGTGCTGGGCGAGGGTCAAACACACTGGATTACGACGCACCCCCTTGCACCGTGCTGCTCTCCACCCCACAGTTTTATCAGTTTCCAAAGGCCTCCAGGAGGTGCCGCATGTGTTGACGGCCATGCAACTCCGCTGTTTGCTTTTCATTCGAACCCGATAGTACCTGCATGTCATTCTGGACGTATGCTTGAATTCCCCAAAGTGAACATTCTATATATGTAAGCAAAATAATGTGCTTTTTAATTTGCTGTGGTTGCTCCACATCAAGATTTATGGTTAAAAAGACAGAAGGGCGGGCTAGCGAATCAGCGGGGCAAATTAATTTTTGGAACAATTTATCTGTAGGGTGTATTCAGGTGCGGTTTAGGAGAGGTGTGTTCTGGGAACTGCACCATCTTTGTGTCTGCGATGGCAGACAGCTACGCCGCCGTGCAGCCCCACTGTTTGGCGATTCTTCCTGTGACACCCCGCACGAGCGATGGACGCTCTACGCAGCTGCGGTGCATATTCGCAACTCCAGTGCGCCGCTCGCTCTCCCGCGGACGAACGGAGAACCAGAGGAGCGGGGACGGCAGCGGTGGTGGCGGCGCGGAAATGGTGGCAGGGACTGTCGGCCTTTATGCGTGAAGCCCTTTTAACGAAAATAGTGAGCGCGTTGAAAAAGGTATTCTCGTGCTCCGCCTTGCAACAGCCTTGCACGAAGGACCGGGATGTCTAATTTCATTAGGGACCTTTCGTGTATCGCATACGCTGCGGATTTCTGGTCTTGTGCATGGCCGCCAGCTCAGTCTGTGTTCAGCGTGACGGAAAACGCTACCGCTAATAATGAAGAACTTTATAGTAAGGTATATGAATAGTCTATTCTTTGCCATAAGTAGGAGAAAACTCGTCGCGCAACGGTATATCGATCAATACACATCGGGAATGGGTTTGCGTTTTAAGACCGTTACAAGGAACATGACCATTTATTCCAAGCACTTTAAAAAGACAGAATACCTGTACTTGCTTTCAGGTAATTACAAAGCAAATAAAGAAATGCTCGAAGAATTTCAAGCGCGTCTGTGTTGGCCAGCCGTTTGTGAGGAGAGCTTAGAACGCGCAGTTTTGGGCAGAGGGCCCGCAATGTTGCAAATAACACGGTACGAAAAATGTATGGTATATTAAAATATTTATTTTTGATAGAGCAATAAATAAAACCCCTAAACACGCCGATTATGTTAATAGGCATTTTTTGCATAGCGTACAACACCCCTAAACTTCAGTTGGACGTACAGCGCACTGACGTTCAACCGGTGCTACCAACTTTCACAAGCGGCTTAATGGCGAGTTGTGCAACTTATTAAAATAGCTTAAGTAAGTGTAAATGACCATAAAAAAAAAAATGTAATCAGGTTTTTTAGGCTTTACTGCAAAACCTCAATGTCTTTTTTTTTTTGGTATTCTTTGATGCATACTTTACCTGTTTAATATCATATTGCGCCGCCATCAAGCCTCTCGTAAAAGTTGGGGCCGTCAGTTTGACGTCGGAGGTCTGCACGGCGAACTGAAGTTTTGGAATGTGGTATATATAACAAGAAGTGTACGGACTACAACATTTTTTTTTAGAGTGATGAGCACGGCAACGCTTTTGGCGTGCACTGAAAATTGTGCTTTAAAGACGCAGCGCGAGCTTACGGTTGTAATGCTACACCGCACGTAACAAGCTTTCTATCAATAACAATAGAGCAGTTTGATTACGTGTTGCAATACACAAAAACAGGGACGGTGAGTTGCGAGTTGTGAGGCTGTGACGCGAAGACACCAATGCTGTGAACGCTGCTCTTCCGAAGCTTGACGGTCACCGTGCACGGCTCTCTTTTTAGAGCACTAATTGCCAGGCAAAGCGCAAACATATCTTCATCACCCTCAAAAATATTCGGCCAGAAACAGTAACGTGGCCAGTGCTAAAATGCGCTTGCTCACCTCAAAGCTTCGCAATTTGAAGTTTCTGCAACTTCTAAATAACAGCATGCTCCTTTTCCTAACGTGCATCGGCATCTCCGTCACCCTGACCGCTTCCCTAACCGCTTTGCATTTGTGGACAAATGGGTAAATTTTAGCGCGCTGAACAGCGTCGGCGATCAGGCGCACGGGATATCCTGGAAAATCTATCCCCGTCTTTCCGCCATCTTGGAACTACCGCCTCGCCACCTATAGGGCGTTGGAGTTGCGAATAGTTGTATAGTTGCGGCAACATGACAATGTTGTTTTCGGTAAGAAGTCCTTCACCGCTGGGCCCTTAAGGTGGACAGCAGACTGGAATGCAGACACTACGAGTAGATGGATCTGCAGCATCAATCCGTCTGGTAAACCGCCGAAATATCTCGTCTAAGACAGCAAGCTGCGGCCGCAGGTGAAAATGACTGACACCCAAATTTACCTGATTGTAAGGACAGGTTTTGTCCCGTGCCTGCAATTCTCTTAAACGGTCGTAACCTCTAGTGGATGGGTTCAGGAGTTGTCAGTGAAAGCAGTGAGTGCGGAGAGCGCAATCGTCGTCTCGCAGGGGAGGTTGACTTCTGATGATTTACTTCTAGAATGTGAATGCTTCTTTGATATGTCCAACTACAGAGTGTGCTCTGTTTTCTGTTTTTGGGCCTGCATCGGCGTAGTTTGCTTTTGGCAGGCATTAATTGTATTTCACATGCTTCAACAGCGGGCTAGGCCTGTCTTGCTAGTCAAGTTCAGTCGTGATTAAGGATAACTAAGATACCTGTATGCAAGCTTTTTACCGGAGGAGCAGTAGCAAACCAGCATGGAGATGATCCCATTCATAAGCATGTTTTCTTTTGAGTCATAGCAATCTCCAAGCTCTCTTTGGCTGGCGGTGATAAAAACAGCTGCATGACATATTCCACGAGGAGTTGAGTGTATCATGCTACTCAGTGCTGCGCGGTTCTTAGAGAGGCACTAAAGTGTGTTTTGAGATCCTCGTTTTAAGGTCATAACTCAATCTTCGAGCTCTGAGCATCCTAAAAAACCCGAAATTACATTCATGCGTGGCCAATTTGCATATTAAAAAGTAATAAAAGTTTGCAACACTTACCGTTGCTGCAGAATGACAGATGGCGCTACTGAACCTTCTTGTACATAGTCGACCGGCGCTCGTCAGCCACTTGCAAGCAACAAGTTGACGAGTGGCCGACCAGTCCCGCTCGTCCACGCGGGAACCCATCGCTTGCGAGTGACCGACGTGCGCCGTTTGTCGTTCGACCATATTTAGCAAGGTTTGGTAGCGCCATCTGTCATTCTGTGCCAACGGTAAGTGTCGGGACCTTTTACCGCTTTTTTAATATGCAAATTGACCGCGCATGAATGTAATTTCGAGTTTCTTAGGCTGCTTAGAGCTCATAGATTGAGTTATGACCATAAAAAGAGAATCTCAAAATGCACTTTAGTGCCCCATAAAGGGAACGATTAACCTTCTAAAAGTAAGTCGAGCAAAGATGTGCACATATTCCAGAGTCGGGGGGGCATCATAAGCCTGCCTCACCTGCGAGACTACAATCGCACACCCTGCATTCACTGCTTTCATTGACTCCTGGACCCGTCCACTTGTGGTTACAGGCATTTAAAGGGCTTGTGCGAGCGACAAAATTTGTCCTTGGGGTGACGTAAACCTGGATGTCTGTCATTTTCACTCACGGCTGCGGCTTGCTGTCTAGGATGAGATCTTTTGGCGGTGGACCGAACGAATCCACACCACAGATTTCAACCTTTTCCTCGTAGCGTCCGTATTCCCATTCACTGTCCGCCATAAGAGCCCAACAGTAAAGAACCGCTTACCGAAAATAACACTGTTATAGTGCCGCAGCTATACACTGCACCGTAACACTGCAGCTGTGTAGAGCGTCCGTTCCTTGTGCGGGGTCTCACCGGATGAACTGCTGGGCGGTGTGGGCTATCGCATACACACAGATGGCGCTGCTCCCAGAATGCACTACTTCTAAGCCGCGCGTGAGACACCTTTTGTGAAGATTATTTTTTATTTTTTCAGGTGGATTATTGTGAGAACTGTGCTGCACTAGAGCAAGAGAAGAAATCCCTCAAGAGTGACATCGATCACCTCCAGGAGGAAAATGCGAGACTAAAAGCCATTGTGGACTATGTGACTTCACAAAGAGATGTAGTTGATGGTAAGTAAGGCTCTGCTTGTGCAAGTTAACTCGAGCCGGACACCTGCTAACGTGGGATATTTTACATGTAGTGACTACAGGGCAATGTGAACAATAGCTATGTTTAATCTATGTTAATCGGAAAAGGGCGGGAATTAAAACCTGACAGAAGCTTTCCTCTGGTGCCACGAGTTCCTCAAGTCGGATACCATTCTAATTCTTTGTGGTGTTGCAGTAAACAACCAGGCATGCAGCAGACATTTGATGTACAGGGGCCAACCAATTGATACTTTACGCTCATGTTACAAGTGAAAAAGAAAAAAAAAAAAACAAAAAAACTAACCATCGGAGCATAAAAATGTATGCTTTTTGTGTGAGGTGCACAAGATTATTAGGTGCCGTAGAACACCAGCCCCTTGCTCTAGATCCTTTTTGACCTCTTTTTGTTAACTTTTTGCCCTTTCAAAATGCATTGCAAGAGGACCTAACCATGCACCCAATCTTCGAACACTGTCGTGACCTTCTGCTATAGTCACCGTCACCATGGCAATGGATCGCTACTTGAATGGACGCATGCTGGCACTATTTTCCCAGCTGTTCTTTTGCTGAAATCACCGCTTGTCAACTTTGGTTGCTGGTTTGCCTTGCTTGGAGAATCTGGTGGCCATGGTTCATTCTATAGACCAACATGTGGCTCTGATGTCATGCCTCTGCGGTGGTGCTGTTGTCGCCACGGCACATGCACAGAAGCTTCAGCTCACGCGAATCTGGTTTCTGCGCTCGCACAGTGCCCACACCTGGTCTGGGCAAATGCGGGCTTGTATGTAAACAGTGTGTCGGTCTATAAGCATGGCTTTCTGACAGGCTGCGCTACGCTCGGTTGCCCCCTGCTTTGCTACGCTCTACTCGGGGAGTCTAATATAATCACAGCCTTGAGCTTGTGTCTAGCCTCGTCAAAACCGCCAAAGGTCCGGAGCTAGGCTACTATATGAAGTGAAAACTAAGAGAGAACGCTGGCAGCCGATTTGATTGCTTCCATCCGAGGCAACCGCCGTCTGCTATAATCACCACTTCGTTTTCCTCAGACGGTGGTCGAACAAAGGGTGTTAAGGCGCTGTTATATTTTGACGTATGGCGCGCGCAAGCGAGCACTGTCTAAAGTCTGTTCCATCATGCTGGTTGCACCGTGCAAGCCAGAAACCTCTTCTGTCTACACTCCAACTTTTCCTATGGCGCGTTGCTACCAGGCGCATGCGCATGCTACCTCGAGCGTCCACATTTTTTGTTCCTACGATGCGCCGGTGTCTGGCCTTTGGCGAGCGCGCACACAATGCATGCTGGGAGGTTGATCCTGTGGTTTTGGCGCGGCCGGCGCGAGATGGCTCCACTCGCATTCTGTGCCGGCGTCGCCCATGCACGCCGAATGCTGCCAGTCGTGTCAGCTGCGTCAAGGCTTTGGACTCTGGAGTGGCTGGCTTTCACCAACGCAACGTCCCCATGCCGCATGCGCTCCCCCGTCTGTTTTGTTGGAGTATAACAGTGCCTTTAATGGTTGGAGGCTTTGGACGCTTGGCTCCTGCGTGCATACATTTGGCAAACTCCTTGTTGCCATGATGATGGTAGCCTAGCAGAATACTTTATAGTGAGGAAGATTACGGTGTTATTCTGGGATCCGGGGCACTCTCAGGCTGCTTCTTGGGCCGAGAACTAAATTTCTTTAATGCCTATTATTTTAATGGGCCTTACACGAAAAACCGGTTTTTAGTTGTGTTTAATATGGTGTTTTGAGAACTTGATAAAGTATCGGTGTGTTAAGGGACGGCGGTCTGAGTTTGTACAGGGGAGCGCTGACTAGAGCACTAAAAATCCCACATGCAGTGCTTGTGGCATCATAAGCTGTCTGGATCGAAGTTGCAACGAACCACTATTATTTCTTCAATTTTGGGGGTGGCTAGGTGTCAGGTGCCATCAGGACACCTGTGCAACAGGTCTAGGACGAGTTACCCTAAACAAAATAAACCAAAAAATGGTTTGGGGGCTTTGCTTTCCTGGAGAGGCAAGCACAAATACAAGTCAGTGCTAAGGTAGTGAAGGACGGTCAACCAGAGTAAGGCAGCAGTGCACCAACAAAATCTGTTAGCCCAAGATGCACTGTTAGTGTGCGGCTTATTGATGCTGCAAATCTTCCCTTGCATCTGCGTAAAATCATGGCCGGTAATCCTCATCTTGCTCCCAATGGCCTATCGTGCCAGGGATGGCCCACGTGGGATTGTTATCGCTTCGGCCAGCTTGTTTAAGGGGCCCTGCAAGGACGTTTTTACTGGTTTTTAATTTGCACCGAACCTGAGCGCACTGAACGGAGTAACTTAATGAAACTTTTTTTTTTTCTCGAATTTCGCTTTATTTGAAAAGATATAGGCAAAGTAAAATGACAAAAACAAGCAAAAAATAACCACCTTCATGACGTCCTTGGTTGCTTGAGTGGCTGTGAACTAGAGGATGGGCTGAGTGAGCTCAGCGAGCGCTCACGGCTGCCGCACTCCGTGTCGACGGCGCGAGAGGGCGCTACTAAAGCATGTTCTGGATAGACTACGCAGCAGTGGGCAGCCAGAGTAGCTTTCATTACATTTGCTGCGCAATTAAAAAATAATTCGGCATGACACTTCATTGGCCACAAACGACGGCAAACACGGGGTGAAGGTCAGTTCAGAATGGGAGACACTTCGCGCTGCCATACCGCGAAACGGCCAAACCGCAAGACAAAGCTGCTCGCCGAAGGCATTCGGAGCACTCAAAGCCGGTCGGATCCTCCAGTCCATACAACCGCAGCACCGCCGTGTACATCCGGGACTTTTCCGTGTCGGTGCCTGATCCCGCTACTCCTTTCTAGTATGTGTCTCCTTTTCCACCGCTTGGTGGCGGGTATGTCGTCGGGTCATTTCTTGTTTCCGTACTTTATAAACTGCTCTTGTTTCTTTTCTGACCTAAAATACTGAACAAAAACTACTTTTATAAGTAAATCAAATAATTTGCGCCACTTATATTTTGTATTTCGACTAAAAAGAAGCTTTTAGCGGCTCTGACCAGTAGTAAGCCCAGCACCAAAGACGTCACATATCGCGTGCTTCCGGTACCGCGGGTCGCCCCCGTTGGTGGAGGAGGTGTTTCCGTGTCGTCCGGTTAAAACATGATGCACTGATATTTAGTTACTCTGTCCGTGCCCGCTGACTTGCCCAAACCCCAAGAGACGTGGAAACCGCAAAAAAGGTAGACGCTTAAATGTGATTGCAGGGCCCCTTTAAGCTGTACTAGCTCATTCTGTCCTCGCTATAAGTCCCCGCCCTTAAAAAGCCTCTGACACGGGAAAAAAAATGTTTTACATGCTAGGTGCTAAATTGTGTGTCAGAACATCCCCAAACATTTGTGTCACTCTAGAGTTGTGCAGTTCTTATTTTTATTATTATGAAAATATGAAGTCCAATTCAAAACGCCCGCCAGTTCAGTGTGACCTAACATTGCACCACAAAATGTCGGGGCGGTCAGAAGGAAGGAATCGACCGACGTCACTAAAAGTGGGTTCGCCGGAAGTCACGCGAGTTTCACTTCACATGTCCTCCGCGACCGCACCAAAGACTTTAGTTTTATTTTTGTTATTTTGGTCTTCTCCACGAGCGATTGTAGAAAAGAAAGATTCAGTTAAACTGGCGGGCACTTTGATTAGGACTTCATATTTCTGGTTTCTATGGAAAAACTGCACGACTCTAGAGAAACTATTTTTTGGTGATGTCTGATACACCATTCTAATGCCTAGCATGAAAAATGTTTTTTTTCTTTTACATGTCCGTTTTTTTGTAGGAGTCATAAAACTATTTTTTTTTTACTTGCACTAAACACCACATAGAATTGCTCTCTAACATAATTAACTCAATAAACATGCCTTAGTTTTTTATTCTAGCCAATAGCTATTTCCAAAAAGAAATTGAGAAATATGAGCATCTTTAATTCCCTTAACTTGAAGCCAGAAAAAGCGGCCACGGGGCCTGATGCCTATCTTATGCAGCCAACATTAATCATAGCCACGCGCTGAGGCTGGCAAAGTAGAGGACGCGTGCTATGCTCCAGGCATTGTTAGAGTTCGGCTATTCTTGTCACCGCAGTCATTGGGCATAAACCACTACCCGATTGTTCGCAGAGGCATTGATTCTTGCAAGCCGAAGTCAAGTGCTCGCGCAGTGCTCGTTCCAATCTATAAGCCGCACTCGACTGTCGTCAGAATGGTGATTTTGCTCCTACAATTACATGTCAAGCTTTGCAAAGGCAAGACTGAAAGAAATAGTCTTCTTCTATCTTTGCAATTTCACCACAACAAAGAAGCTTTCGAATGAGTGGCAGTTTGTACGAGTATACTTGGGCCAGACTAGGACCAGTATGCCTCTGCAACGTCATGAACATTCCAACCCGATATTGTTTCATGATGCCTTTAAAGAACTCCGCAAATTTTTCATATTCACAGATGTGCTTCGAACTCGGCTTAGGACATCAATAGACACAGCTGAATTTGCAGACCGAATATAATGTTGAACACAGCTGAATTAGTAACCCAAATTTTATGTCAAAATGCCACTTTGTTGCAGTGTCATTGAATCTCCTAATGTGGTCGTCACCCATTTTTCAGACTGAAAATCTCAACTGACTACATTAAAAAAATGACGTTGGCTATGGAAACAGTGTCACAGTTTGGGCTGTGGAATTTGTTTCCAGCTGGGTACCAAGAAGTTTGGTGGTGTGAAATTTATGCCGAAGACGACGCTTTCTCCAGCATACAAAGATGACACTCTCTGCCTGTGACGTCATGCCATTGGAAAGTGCGGTAAAATTTAAAGTTGGTTTTGGCATTGCACTTTTCTTAATAACTAATATTGATTTTGAGATGATATATACTTCGCTTGAGATAATATATAATTTGCTGCAAAGAGTGAAGCACAAGTATTCAGAAAAAGCAGCTGTCTGGATAGCTAAAACATTGTCATAGTTCCCTTTTAAAAACCATTGCATCTTGTGCACCTTACAAAATTCGAATTCCGAACGTGCATACTTGAAATTGGGCATGCAATGTCATTTTACATCTGCTCACTTGTGCGGTCACTCATAGGTGGTGTGCTTATTGCAAAAATTCTGGAAACACGACGGAGCAGGCCACGGGGAGCAGTACTGCTGCCGCAAAGATGAGCTTTGATAGGAAATAAAAACAGATGTCCAAGCCAATTTGCACTTTGGAATGCCATTAGATGCAGCCCATGGCTTACATCTTTCTAAAATGGGACAGTCAGCCACTTATTGATTGAAACCACATCTTTAAGCATAATAATTAAAATTGCTATATATTAGTTAACAATTAACTTAGCTGGATATTATTAATTTTCCTAAATGGACCTTTTGGGAGTGACCAATGAGACACTAACATTTCTTTGTGTGCCACATAGTTTTCATAGGAATTATTTATCCAGCATTCCATGAAACGGCCATATACCGTAAAGTCCTGAGAGATGCCCCACCCTCGAAAGATAGCCCATCCCTATTTTTGGTTTGATTTGCTATTTTCTTTTTAAACACCGAAACATAGCCCACTCCTAGTAATAGTAGTGTTGGGATCAATGATGGCCGCAGCGTAAATGCGGCTAGTTAGCTATGGCGGGATATAAGCAAACATTGCTGACTGGGGAGTACAGTCACCTTTGCTTTGTTGCCCCTCGCCACCGTAACAAGCTTGGAAGGGACACGACCTAAAAATAGCAATTTTTTATACTTTTCTTCATTGCACACCAAAAGTTAGCCCACACCATGTTTTCACCCGATTTTCTCTTCATGTTAGGTAGGCTATCTCGGGATTTTACAGTAGTTTGATGGTGTCACTTTCGTTTCAATGTCTGTCGTGAAATTTCATACAGATAATACATAACTTGTATTAAAGCAAGGCACTTAAGTGCAAACAGCATTGTGTTGCAAGTACCAGCATTTCTGTAATATGCTGCTATTGCCTTTTATTTGTGTATGATTTATTTATTTTCTGATGTCCCAGAACTGACGATTGCGGTCCAGGACCTAAAGAACCTTCGTGAAGAGATGGAGGACGCTCGGGTGCAGAGAGCGCCTGAAAACCCTGGAGCCCAGGCAGAGGTATGTGAAAGTTCTTGAATATTTGGTGCAGAAATGTTATTGATAATGGACCCCTTGCAAAAACTGTAAAATGTGGTGCGTGAGGCACTGTGACACACCTGTTTGCCTCCTCCCTTGCTCCCGCTCCCCCTGGCACAGGAAAGAGCTACTGTTTCAAAATGGGTTTCGTTTTGAACGGCTTCTCTGAATATTTTCTCCAAATGTACTTCTGTTGTGCCATGTTAATTACTTGTTTTGAAGTGGTGGGAAAGCAATTTTTTTTGGCAGGTCAGTTTACGAAGTTCAGTGTAGACATTCTCAACGAAACTGATGGAAATGGTAAAGTGTCCATCAGTTTTGTTGGGAATGTACCCCCCCCCCCCAATTTTAATTTTAAAGGAAAAAGTATATTTGCTACATTTTACAGTCTCTTATCCAGGTTTGTATGAATGCCGAGCGAGCTCCGCATTTATACATGGTTGTTGTCGCAGCAAATGCCAGCTTGTGTGCAAGAAAGATCCCGAGCTTCGCAACGTCTATAGTCTGTTGCAACTTAAGAACAAAGGGCGAGGGTAAGACGGGCTGGGGAGGAGGAAGCAGACAGAGCGCAAAGGAGAGAAGGAGGTTTCCCTCTCTCTTCTCCAGCGTTCCGTCTGCTTCCTCCTCCCCGGCCCATCTTATCCTCGCCCTTTGTTCTTAGGTTGCAACTGACTATAGATTCTGAGCACCTGCTCAACCAAATACTTCCAAATGCTAACAAAAATGGTAAAGTAGAAAAACAAAAATTTTAAAATCCTTTGGTGGATTCTTAGAGAATGCATTAGCATGACCCTTGGGAGACGCTAAGGCTGTCCCCTTCACTTTTCTGTATTGGCTTTCACTTTTGCTTCCTTTATTTTTTGCTGCACCTTTTTGGCTTCATTATGGGGCCAGCATTAGCATTTCCCAAAAGGGGATGTGTGTGGTGTTTCCCAAGGGTCATGCTAACACCTAAGGATCCGGCAATGGATCTTCCTTTATTTTCTTTTGCTGTCCACTTGGACCAGCACTAGTACTTGGTTCACCCTCCATTTTGTAGCACAAAGCAAGGCATACGCGCTCCGCACACCTGCAACTTCAGACTCGCCCCAGCATCTTCCGCCTTGTGACGACGCCTCCCTCTCGCCTTTGTCCTTCACTACTCTTCTCCTCCCTATGCGGTGCTCTTTCCTTTCCTCTGTTTTGTCTACAGACGAACGCCATCAGCTTTTTCCTGTCATGTGGGTATTAATGCTAACGCAGTAATAAAGCATCTCCAGTGTATGGTGTAGGATTGCACTGGAGTGTGGAGATCTAGCCATTCATTCAATTTCAGAGGTAAAACATGGTCTGCCCAGGATGAAGGAACGTGAAATAATGCTTCGCTCAGTCCACGCTTTGCACACGATCTTGCAACATTTTTCTGGACGGGTCGATCAATGCCATGCCACTCGTTCTTTGGACAGCAAGTTTCCTGATTGCACTGTATGGATTGTTGCATGCCGGGATTTATGGAAGTGGTCGAAGGGACAATGATGTTGATGTTAGAATTAGCTTTAATAGGTGCTTTTTATCAACATATCAGACCTTGAGCGATGGAATTCACTCTGATTACTTACAGGGCAACGAAGACGAAGAAGATTTGGGGGGCATCAAGGTCAGCAGGGCTTTGCTGCTCCTTCTAGACATGGGTCCCACAAAATCACCAACAGTTTATGCCCGGGAGCTTCTAAGGTTGGTCTTCAGCTCGGAAGAGCTTGTCGGCAAATCAATCACGGGCAAGCAGTCCAACGCACACAAGGACAAGCCGGCCAAGCCACAGCTTGACCCAGTCCGGGTAAATGCTGTGATAAGTGAGTATGAATATCTGCAAGTTCTGTTATAGAAAGTGAGAGAATGCATTCAGCAAAATAAGTTTGAAAATTTTGGCTTGAATAAATCTTGAGGTTGAATCGAGAACAGTATACTCAATTGAAATCTCCTGCATACATTGAACACTGCAAAGGTGATTTCTTGATTTTTGTCTTCTCATGACTGCTACTTCTGCTAAATGAAACAGCTTTGACTGTTTTCTTGAGGGTCCACTTGAGCACTACATGTATGGAAAACCTGCATTTACTTTTAGATATTGCCAGCTGTCTAAATCCTGGCTCTGTTAGTTTGTGCCAACCAGGTCCCACCTGACCTTGCAGCAACCAAGCATGCACCCCTATTGTCTAAGCATCCTCTTCCTATTGTGATCTTGAACTATGGTTCTGCTTTTGATTGAGCCCCAGCCATATTTTCGTTTAATTTAGATTTTCTGTGGAATAATTCTTTTTTTGGGTGGGAAAGTGGGGGGGGGGGGGGGGGGGGGGGGGGGGTATAGGACATGATCTGTACTTTACGGTAGGCTGACTGGACATGTATTTAGGCGTAGCATTGCCTCATGTTTAGAAATTACTTTCAAGTGCATTGCATACTTCTGACCACACAGTTTCAAAAACCTTCACTACTGTATTATCCGAAGAGATGACCCATCCCCAAACAATAGCTCATCCTAATTTCTGGCATATTTTTTATGGCTAAAATTGAATTATCTTTTATACACTGGAAGTTAGCCTCACTCATTTTCATCTAGTATGCTCTGTTTTACTAGGTGAACTGTTTGATAATGCCATGATCATTTATTTAGAGATTATCAGCTCTTTCAAATTGAGCACTGCTCTATAGTCAGTGACTGGTTAAAAGTTCTCTGGCTGGGGAGGAGGAAGCAAACAGAAGAGAGGAGGAGGTTTCCTCCTCCCCCCAAGCATTTTGTTCGCTTCCTTTTCCCCTGCCCTCCTTTCCCTCTAAAACTTTTCTTAACCTGTAACTGACTATAGTATGACTGAGGTAAGTGTAGAATAGTTTTCTGTAAATATGGTACAAAATAACATGCATATTGTGGAGATCTTGTAAAGGTTTGACCTTTACAACAAACATTCACTGGCACTAGCTTGTGTGAGTTAAAAAAGTGCTGATGTCATGTTTATGTCAGATGTGCTGTGCAGTGGTTGGTCTTGAAATGCCATTTTAAGTAACCAAAATTCGGGGGGGGGGGGGGGGGGGAGGAAGGAGTGTGCTCAGTCTTTGTGAAATGACATATGCTGCACGTGGCTTCACCTCCGTCACTTAGCAAATAAGATGCCAGTGATGATCTTTAAAACTGGCAGACAGCACACTTGCTTAACAAATTTGTGTGTCTATCTGAACAGCCATGTTCTAGTCTAGTAGTCTGCAACACCAATAAATAGTGCTTGAATACTTTTTTTTCTGGATAGTTTCAAATGCTTTCTTTTATTCTATTTCTATTTTTAGTAACTAGTAACATTTATTTTTAGACAGCACTTGAAAGATACTATCAAAATTCCTGGCCGTAAAACTATCATATGGTTAAACCACTTGTGGGACTGATTTTACGAGACGGAAAAGAGCCTCCATACGTCACTGACCGAGCCCATAACTAAATTGTCAACTGTTAAATAGAGCATTTTCCAATCTTTTAAAATCTATGCTCACAGGTAAATGTGTTTCTGAGATGCAAGTATTTTTGATATCTTCATGTCTGCGTTTGCAGGTTACACCTGCAAGAAGTTCAAGCTTCTCAAAGAAGGGCCAGTGAGGACGTCCTTGTCCTCGTTGCTAAACAAGGAGGCAAACAAGGAAAAACCTTGTGAATAAGTCTTTTTTTATCCTACAGTCCTTCGAATAAAGGTGACAAAAATATTACTTTTGTGTTTGTTTTTGTTACCTGGACGTTTCATATATAGCGTACCATAGAGAGGCGAACCAGCACAGGTTTTCAAAACGGGTTTGGAATACCAAAGCCTAAGGAAAAGGGGCAGCCAGCTAAGAGAACCTTAGGATGAGCCATACAAGACCATACACAAACTATACATGGTTAAAGAAACCAAAGAAAAATCCACAGGCAGCTATAGCTTGCTGGCTAAAGAGAGCCGTACAGTGAGCCATAAAAGATTCTTTAGAAGACCATACAAAAAGCAATAGACGGCTAAAGCAACCAAAGGAAAGTCTATAGTCTGCTGGCTAAAGAAACCAAAGGAAAATCTATAGACAGCTATAGCCTGCTGGCTAAAGAAGCCAAAGAAAAATCTATAGCCTGCTGGCTAAAGAAACCAAAGGAATCCCTATAGACGTCTATAGCGCACCGGCTAAAGAAAGCCATAGAAGAATTCTTTAGCTAGCCATAGAAAAAGCTAAAGACTTTTATAGCCAACCAGTGATAAAGCCATAGGAAAAGCTAAAGACGCCCATAGGCAAGACCATAGAAAAAGCTAAAGACAGCCATAGAAAAAGCTAAAGCCGATTGGGCCAATTTTCTATAGCCGACCATAGAAAGGATTTTCTATAGCCGACCATAGGATATTTTTGTATGGGGCAAGAGCGCTACTAGTAAGGGTCACGTTATTATGAATTATAAACTCAATATTTTTTTGCGTTTCACCCCGGTGCAAGACTGAATTGAGTTTTCGCCACAACCGGTCGGTGCGATTTGATGTCACACTGAAATAGTTGTGGTAATAAAGAACTCTACGTTTCTTCAATTCCTTGTTCAAGCTATTTCTGTACTTCTTGAAAATTTTAAGTTTATCTGGGTCTTTAGTTTTAATAAAATTTGCGTATAGCTTATTTCTTATTTGTATTTTTGCAATTAGCTCAGCTGTTATCCAGGGTTTACGAGCACGCCTAGTGCATCGTACAGATTTACAAGGAAAGTGACGTTTATAAATAGAGCTGAAAATATCTAGGAATGTCTCGTATGCCTCATTCGCGTCCGTTTTATTGAGTACATCAGTCCAGCTTTCATTGCACAAGCTATCTTTGAAGCTATCTAAGCGGTCAAGAGTGATGCATTGAATCAGCGTACTTTTTTTAGTATCTTTGTATGTACAGGAGCTTTTGTCTATACAAATAAATGTCGCAAGATGGTCACTAATGTCGCAGGCTAAAAC